ATAAGCGTGTTCGTTATAAACGTAGTTTATGAGTGAACATGGTTAAATGCCACGATTAGCAGTATTCATATTTCAGTCATGTCAAAGCGGGGGACACAAAGAAGGGACTTCACACATTGTACACGTGGGGATTCAAACCCACGCATTCGGCGTATGCAGACTAACTAACGCTTCAGTCATTCAATCTTTAGGGGCGGTCGGGTAACCTCGTGGTTAAAGCGTTCGCTCGTCACGCCGAAGACCCGTGGATTCCCGACATGGATACAATGTGTGAAGCCCATTTCCTGTGTTCCCCGCCGTGATATTGCTGGAATATTGCTACAGGAGGCGCAAAACCAAACTCACTCACTCACTCACGTACACATTCAATCTTAAAACCACATACATATTTCACTAAATATTTCTTCTTATTAAGAAAACAGATGTTAACTTTTTTGTGCACTTACTCGGGACAATTCTACCTATCAATTTGAATATCTGTAATCAATGCCACATTTGATATTATATGAAGTATGAATCAATCCATTTGCGAGAAATAACTCTGTGGTACGTTTTAGAGGCAAAGGAAAACGTTATCGACAATAATGGAAATGATTTCGGCTACTTTTCAACTATTTTCAAAACATTTCATGATGGAATATGATTTGGAACGTAGAAGACAAACTCTATATTTCTATCGATGGGGCAACCACACGTGAACCTTTCACGGACGTTGTATGACACGTGTTGTGTACATCAGGTGTACAAGCAGCAGGCGAACCCACACGTGGTGAGGAGGAGTGTGTATATCGACCTGCAAGCACGTGTGTTTTGTGTCTGTGTGTGTGTGTGTGGGGGGGGGGGGGGGGGGGGGGGGGGGCTGCTGCTTGTACTAGTCCGGAATAATGCTGGTTTTATAGTGATAGACTACTGACATACCATACTGCGCTGTCTAATTAATGTCTTTTGGTAGGACACAGCCAGGGGATCTGGCCACTGACCTTCCTCTCTCCTGACAGACGCTGTTTCCACTAGACCACGGAGGCGGTCAAACCACATCTGGAATATGAGACCTTGTAGAAACGACAAAAGTGGGCGTCAGCTAGATGGCGCCCACTGCAACCAATGTAACACAAGAAACGTCAGAGGATGAAATCTAGTTACGTCGCTGGAACGACAAGCGAGCTAATCTATAAACAGTCCTCGTCTGTTGGGGTCATCTTACTCTAATAACAATATCATAGCCATGCTACTTGATGTTGACAAACTCCACTTTTGTTGCTCTCGGAACAGCAGTCAGAGATATGTTCTCGCGAGACTCGGAAAACCCGCCATTCTCGCTGTAGCCATGAATTAACGCCATGAAAACGATACATTGGATTGTCCAAATGAGATTGTCCGTCCCTGGTGAAAACTTACATTGCAGCCTTTGTAGTGTTTTACTCAAGGGTACATAAGGCTTGTAATGACATTACTCCTGCACTGATATGCAAACAGGCTTTAAAGTTCTGGGAAATGTACATGGCTTCTTCATTCGCATCATTGTATTCTATCTACCATTTAGAGAAAAATCAGTCAGGAAAAACACAGAACCTGAAAGGCACTGTATGTGATGTATAGAAATCTATCCCCTTAGTACCCTTAATCAGTTTAAGTTGATATTGTCGTAAAATTGCATCCATGGCGAATGTTAGCTCAACAAATAATATCATTCTAAAGTCAATGAAGTTATGACCCGACCAAACACTTATAGGATATTTTAAGGATGAAGAATGTTCTAATAATTCTGTTTTATCGATTTTTCCTAAAAACGAACTTACTAATTATCTAAGTGCAACTACATATCCACTTGTGAAATCAGTGTATGGCACTCTTTTTCCGAAGGACAAACGGTTAGTTGTAAGAAATCGAATAATAATTAGAAAACGCTTACGAGTAGAAATTAAAATCTGAAGAAATCAATGCATTACAAGATTAAAACGGTATAAACATCTCTACTGTTTAATCAGGCTGAAAGTAACTTTACCGACAACACATTGTCGTTATCAGCGGTTAACAGATTCCTGCACAGGCCCCGTACTGCCTCGTCACTTAACGTTGCAAGCCAAAACATTAAGACAAAGATCACTGCGCTAAATAATACATTGTGCATCTCTAACAGGCTCTCACTCACAGCCAGCTTTGTTTAAACCGGTGGCCATCCCTTAATTAACAGCTCACCTGAGGTTTCGATAATTACAGTAGCTACAAGTTGGGTTCTCTTTTGCAGCTATGTTCAAAGTCTTCAAAGGGTTGGGAAATGATTTATTCAACACCTTGTGGAAAGATAATCATGGTTTATTGAAGCACTTCTACACAAAACATCTATTTTCTTTTCTCCACGGAATATTTGAAGCAATAGTGTCATCTTCTTGTGAGACAAGGAAAAACATACACACTACATATGTTTGTACATATACATGCAAAAATCAGAGTAGTGTATAGGACTGGGATATCAGGAACTCATTAAACAGGTGTATGCACTCCATGTACATGTATTACGACAACTGTCTCTTAACAGATACTCGTGTGTGTATATGTATATATGTTATTGCTACTGACACGATCAGAGGCGAGTAATAGTCTGACTTGGTCACCAATCCATGTTAAAAGCCCATGGTCGACGTTCTGGGTCGTGGCAGTGAAAATGCTATAGGCGTCGACCCTTCTCACATTCCTCTCCTTTCTCGTGTATCTGGGTGCAAAGTCTATCAAATACGTTGATACATTTGTCACCTCAAATACGTTTTAAAAAGGATTTCCAACATGTTAAGACTGCAGAAAATGAATGCTGTTCTATTTTCGCCTTCCACAGAGGTATCATTAACATCCTAATATGTAGATGGTCAGGTAATACCTTATGTGCTGATATTCCAGTTTGGTTTGTAATGTAAAATTGATTTTAGGCAAAGCTACAAGAAAACCAGACAGAGATATTTTTTATAGTCGGATCCACTTTCAAACCAATCTAAAAACGTTTAGTCTAAAGAAACCTCTTCTTAATGAAGAACGTTTCATCCGACTGCCTCATGGTGTACAACGACAAATTGACATTTAATTACAGATGCCTGTTTTCAGACACAGAACCTCTTCAGAATCCAACATTGGAAGACTTGACACAAGTCCGGATACCGGTGAGTGGAACCTAAGTAGTATCGTATATGCTGGGGCAGATGATACTTACGCTCCCAATTATCTTTACTCGGGCCAACTACTGATGTCGCTTCCAGTATTACCACGTGATTAAACGCTTCATCAAACTAACTACTGGTGGTTAAGGATATATCAACAAGTCGACATGACGCTTGCAAACGGGGTACATTTGGTACAATGACATTAAGGGAAACAGTAGTTATATACAATCCTCGTCGAGGGAGGCTCTTCATAATTATATCAATTGTTTCCCAAACAGCTAAAAATGCAGTAAACACGGAAATTCACACTCCAGGATACCATTCAACCCAGGGACTAATGTCAGAGGTTCTAGGTTATTGTTAAGTAGCAGAGAGCAACGTTTGGAATTCCCATTGTCCTTCAGAATGTATGTACCATATAACTCCTCGTATTGGTTGGAAATCTATTGTCAATACATGTTCCTTTTATCCATTACGATTTGAGCTTGTGCCACATCAATATCATTGTTTAGAATCTAATGAATCCACTAAAATATTTAAGATATGCATTATTATACCATTATGATACGCGAGCAACTTGACATATTCATAATTTAAGTCACCTTGCGGCTTAAGAATTAGTGAAAACTGTACAATAGCAACAGCAACTACCAAGACTGTCATGAATATAATCTTCAGAGATCACCTATCATATATTCCTTACAATTCAATTACATAAAATCAATAAGAGTCCTGACAAGTTAGATTGGATTCAATCTTACGGAAAATCTATGATACTGAACAAAAAGATTGTTACTATTCATAAGGGAGGCATTTCTTTCATTCTTTTCAAAAGCTGTAACATTTGAAATGAAATCAACCGTATATCTCTTGCCAATAGATGCCACACGTACAAGGTGCAATTGTTTAGGATTTTAGTTTATGTTATACCTTTTCTTAAATTCCCATTTTATTGACACGTAGATTCGTCTGAGAACACATGCAGCTGATCGTGTTCGTATGTTTTGTACACCTGGTTCAGTCATTCCAGAAAATGAATGGCAGACATTCGTAAGATTTACTGAGTATGACAACGTGGGTCCTATCCCATAGAGTCACTTTTCCATTTCAGACCTCCTTCCTCAGTAGTAGAGCAGGACGTGTTTACACTTTCGCGAACACCTGGTGTCAAGACGGATTCTCAGTGATCCATTCCTATACTCTGCATCACTTTACAGCCCCATTGAAATCTCTTTGGGCACATTGTGACACTGGTGTTGACGTTTGGAATTTTCACCAGTGAAAACCGAAGTTATTGCCAACGATACACATAAGAACAGATATATCTGGAGACATTAATAACGACACACAATCACCAGGCAAGCCAAATAAATCCAAGAACGCTACACATGGCAGCTGAGACTACACGTATCTCTGTCCTCGATTTTCTGGTTACAAATAGAACCGATTACCATTCATATCTCGAATGCTGAACACTTTTAATGATTAGATTAAGAACATCACAGAGTTTATTTACCGATGTTTCATGACCAAATACAAGTTCTTTCAACGTCGTATCGACACTTAACAAATAGTTTTGTATCAAAATATTCTTGTACTATTAAACATAACACAAATTCTACGTATTGTATGAAGAACCTTTCCGAAAACACACGCTCAAGATGACATCTTATCAATCATGCATGTGTTCCTTTCTTGAATTTACGATCCCGAAAAGTTAATGACAAATATAAACATGCAATTTTGTCATCAAAGTCAGATGTGTTTGTACACAAAATAAGGTGATCTCACTGCATGTCCCCCTGTTTAAATCAAAAACACAATTTTAGATCTAAACAAAACACTTACCTTCCGTTGAATATCCCTTGACACCAAGTCGCTTGTGGTCTGTCACTTATCCCCGTGAAAGTAGTCCAGTATGGCTACGACTTATCGCTCCGCTGTCCGAGGCGCGACTGAAGCTGTGAGCGTCCGCTTGGCCATATGGTTTGGAGAGCGATGGGGCTACAGGATGGATTGGGGCTCGGCGAACGCTGTGGTTTAGGGGGAGAAACTGACCCGTGATAGCAGCGCATGGATGGGAAAAGGGAGGAGGGATCGATATCTATTCCAATCACGGGCTGTGTTCGATTAGAGGAAAGCCATTTGCGACACGACTCGTGAAAATAGCATAGTCCATTCATGAATCTAGCAGGTTTAGAAATAAGAGTAGGTTAATGAGCGTATAGGTACACCGGTGTTTGTAGGGAGAGTGTTCTTTAGTATTGAAAACCTTTGAACAAAGTGCTTCTTGTAACGATTTGGAATCTTTCATCAAAACATGTTACCTTTTCGATAGCCGTTTTGTTTTCTAACAACATTGTCAATACTCTTGTCAACGAAAGTCCTGTTGTTTACTGTAATCCCACCAGATACAATTTGTACACGACACTTCATCTAGACTGTTAGATTTGTTTTGGATAACATTTCTGAAATTATTTACATAAAGTACGACGCAGAACATAAATCGTGCACAGCTATAGTTTCACCGACTGTGAAAGTATCCACACGCTATACAAATAGAAAATGTAGTAAACATGTTAAAACTATAGAGTGTGCTGTACATGTATATGTAACACTGTATTATAGCACTTAGTGGTCACCCGACCATAGTACAACAGAATCAATCAAATTTCAGTAAACGTTGATGTATGATCAGACTTACCATAGCTGTCAGCCAAACCAAAGCATGAAAGGTTAAACTCGGTACATATCCGTAGTTTTATTTCCAATGGCATTACTTATTTTAACTATTCTTCTTTCGTTTCGCATGTCATATTAGATCTATATGATTCTACTTATGAGAAACGTTAACTGTTTACTGCCAGTAGGTCTGAAAACGTTTTATCTTCGGAAACGACACATGAGACATTTTTACAGGCCTGAAATGACCTTATCGTCGAAAACGGCTATGATAGTACAGATGTTATCTAATATTTAAAGCGGTGTTTATTCGTTCTATTCCCACAAATAGATAATCAAAACTATTCCTATCTCTATTAATTTAACTGTCACGCCACATATCGGGAAATGATATTTGTTTCAAAGTAATCCCATCTTTCAAACTATACCTATATTTATTTATTTATCTCTCGCTCCGCAGGCCGACTATTAAAATGATTTTCCATCGTCAAAACAAAACCGATGTGTTTCATAAGTTTCGTCCCTCGATCTCGAAAGGTCATGACAAAGAAACCCATTGTTCAAATGATACCTGCCTTAATCTATCTCATTCTCACTATGTCGAAATAACGGTTATCTAAAATATTCCCTTTGTTTCAACTATACCTCTATCTGTTAATGCCAACCACGCTATTTAAAAATATAAACGGGAAACGCAAAGTTATCTTATCGTCAAAGCTGTATAAGCGTCTTTTTGTATTAGTCCCCAGTGTTAAAAGATCAACACAAAGTATACTCAATGTCCAAACTGTACCTATGTCTACCTAATTTACTCTCACTGTGTTCCCGATAAGAACCGGGTTAGAATTGGGTTTCGGCAACCCATGCCTGCCGTAAAAGCGGGATTGGGTGGTCAGGCTCGTTGACTTGGTTGATGGATGTCATCGTATCAGAACTGCGTAGATCGATGCGGATGATGTTAATCACTGGATTGTCTGGTCAAGACCCGAGTATTTACAGACCTCCGTCATACAGCTTGAATATTGCTGAGAGCGGGATTAAACAACAAACAAACAATAAACATTCTCACCGTGTCTCACTCTCATCGCCAGGCATCCAATCCTTCTAACTACATCTTTGTCTTTTTATCACATCCCTGACAGTTCAGCAACCCATGCTTGCCGTAAAAAGTGACTATGCTTGTCGTAAAAGGCGACTAACGGGATAGGGTGGTCGGGCTCGCTGACTTGTCAATCACTGGATTGTCTGGTCAAGACTCGAGTACTTACAGACCGCCGTCATACAGCTGGGATATTGCTGAGTGCGGCGTTAAACAACAAACAAAACAAATAAAAAATCAATCTCGCTTGCGTGCATGCGTGTATATATTGGGATGCTATGCCGTCGTTAAACGTGGATGCCCCACTCAGACACATTATTCTGACTCCCAGCTGACCAGTCCTTGCTATATTCCCGTACTGCCGAGCGCCAGGCAGGGTAACAATAAGTACCATCTTTTAACGTCTTTTAATATGACGCGGCCAGGGGATCGGACCACCGACTTTTTGTTCTCCGAGCAGAAGCTCTATCAACTACACCACAGAGGCGGTTGTGAACAGATAAACAGTTGGAAAGATATATAAATGGTTGAATGGCGAATGGATGGTGATATGGATGGTTAAATAGGCGGATAAATATGGATGGATTTGACGCTTCAATACAATCTGAATCGACACAAGAAAGCAATAGCAATTGCTTCGACAATAAAAGGTTCGAATTGTAAGGATGAAAATAGAACCAGATGCTTCATTCTGGTGCCTGTTTCTTTTCTTTACTGGACACCAACTAGCTCGCGCCAGACAACCAATGGACGGTCATGAGTACGTGACTATAACACGTGAGAGTGATGACCAAGATTCAATATCGACGTAAGCACTGCACACACGAAAGACGCGCACTGGTATGGGGCGAGATAGATTAACCCCGCTTGATCCTTGACTTTGCAGATACTTGCATAAGAAGTGATCCCAGAGCGTTTAGCTGTAGAGGTGGACGGTTTGCAGATGGCCACTACAGCGTTCTGTGTTGTGTAGGCGTGGAGCGTAGGGGTAAGATAGAGCGCCTTGGTTGTGTCAATAAAGGGATATCGTTCTTCCTCGCAACGTTCTGTTTCATAATGTCTTCGCTGCACAAACTAAAATCTACTTTCGTCATTTGCCTTATATTACACCAGGGATATGCATGTATTATAGATGATAATGAAGAAAACAAACATCACCATGGTCGCCACTGTGGACCAAGATTTTAGATCGTCGCGATCATTTCTGATTTGCACTACTGTTCTAAAACCTTCCATGATCGCGACAGGGACGCGAACAATTCGCGCCACGTTCGAGATATGGGTGACGTTTGTTTTAAACAGTGGTTTAGGTTTGCGTATTGTTAAAGTGGCCAGGTAACACACATCAAGCGGCCAAACATATGACATTATCCAAAAAGTGTTGATGAGCAATCATGAGTATTCAAAAACATTATGTTTATATATATACACCCTAGCGATGTTGTCACAGACGCGATAAATCCTTTCTGTACAACTGACTGTTGTTCTTCTACAGCCTGGGAACAGACATCATATGCATTCTGCCACACATGAGATGTACGGAGGGACGGACGGACGTATGTACGTCAATGTATGTGTTCGTACGTGTGTGTGTATGTATGTGTGTGTGTGTGTGTGTGTGTGTGTGTGTGTGTGTGTGTGTGTGTGTGTGTGTGTGTGTACGTGTGTGTGTGTGTGTGTGTGTGTGTGTGTACGTACGAGTGTGTAAGAGTGTAGGTGTACATATGTACATATTTTAAATCTTCCATGAAACCTCCTTTCAAATATGTTCCTAGAAACATCACATAATGAAATATAAAAGTCCTTATTGTTGGCGTTGAATATCGTCAGCTGTTTTGCAATAGTTCAAGTTGTTAAATTAAATGTAAAGTCTCTCCCATGTAATCTCGCGCACTTAATGTTGTTCGAAGACATGAGTACGACACATTAATTAAGATGTATGATGCTGTTCTTTTGTATGGTCGACAACAAATATTGAGTGTAAACACTCAAACATATTACTTTGAAGACGAAACAGTTAGATTCGTTTAAAACATACAAGCCATACATGACATAGCATTTTAGAAATGCAATGAGTGTTTGACATTTTCCACAATCATACTTTGACATCGGAACATAATTGCGAAATAGAACATGGAGGGATGACAATGTGTGATAATAATCAATAATTGTTTGCTGTATTTTTATTATTTGTAAATGGTTTATTTGACTAAACCATATAGCGCCTGTCAAATCGTTACCACCGCTCAAGTGAAAACACGCTTGTGTTTTGAAAGGACAACTGAGTGTCACAATGTCAGTTAAAACGTTTCCAAGAAAATATATACAAGTGCTACTTCCTCGAACAGGACTGACATGATGAAATGTATAGACGCCCAGTTTGATTATGCTCTGCCAATTTGCATACAATACATACCTTTAAAACATCTCACAATAGAGGTCATGCGATCAAACCCATTTGTACCACTTCGCTTCCACCAGCGCTGTTGGATGAAATTGGTACATTCGGCTCGGGGGGAAATTCTGAATTATGCGTTTATTTATTTATTTCTTGTTTTGCGGACCCATAGACAGACAAATTCAGGAATGTGCAAAATACCTCATTTTAAAATATTTTTTATTGACGCCAAACCTGATAATCATGCTTGTGAATAATGACCGTAGAATTATTTGCCAGCCTATTGAGACACATGGTAAATGCTCAATGACTCAATGCCAGTGTTGGCTCCGATACTATTTACACCTTCACCAGTATCCCAGCAGTGTGTGGATACTATTCATACCTTCACCAGTATCCCAGCAGTGTGTGGATACTATTCATACCTTCGCCAGTATCCCAGCAGTGTGTGGATACTATTCATACCTTCGCCAGTATCCCAGCAGTATGTGGACACTATTCATACCTTCACCAGTGTATATCCCAGCAGTATGTGGACACTATTCATACCTTTGCCAGTATCCCAGCAGTGTGTGGACACTATTCACACCTTCGCCAGTGTATATCCCAGCAGTATGTGGACACTATTCATACCTTCGCCAGTACTCCAAACAGTGTGTGGATTTGTTCCCACGTGAACGCTTTAAAGAAGTGACACTCCTGTCACATTTGACAAAAATGTAAAAAAGAAATATGGAACATTTGAATATGTTTCTTCTTCTCATTCTTACATTCTTGCAAACATAATTGAAGAGCATATTTTATCTTCGAACACCTACTAAAGGTTTAGCGAGAAAAAATCAATGATAAGAA